GCTGTAAAAGGACACAACAAAAACCAAAAAGCCGCAACCATCTGGGCTAGTTTTTCCAGTGAAAAGGAGAGAAACGTTTCGGGGAGAAGGGGGATAGGGAGCAGAAAGACATCGGGGGCTGTCCATCAAATTGGGAAATAAGTGCTAGGAAACCCCATTCACTTCATCTCCTATTCCACTGGTCCTCCTGCTGGACCTTCGGGAGAGGGCAGTCTGGGGGTGAGACGGCGGCCCTCATGCCCGTCACAAGAGCCCCTCTGGCAGGGAGAGGAGGCGGGACCGAGCTTCACTAACAGCCTGCTCTGGCTGCGTGCTTCCAGGTCTGCGCCCCGGGACAGAATATAAGATCACTGTGGTGCCCATGAGAGGAGACCTGGAGGGCAAACCCATTCTCCTGAATGGCAGGACAGGTAAGCACTACAGCGTTTCCTCGCGTTCCTTGACTGTGTCTGTCTTCTCTGGATAAAAACCCTGGCCGTGGAGAGATTCCAACTGTCAGTGCGCTGACATCTGTTTGGGGGTGACAGGGAGATGGGAGTCAACCTCTGTTTCTTGCCATTGAAACTTTCTTCGAGGGTCTTGGAGTCAAGGGAAAGGGGCATTTGTATTTTGAGGAGGCCTGATGGTGCAGCGGTGACGTGCTCGGTGTGGGCCGGCACCCAGCCCACAAGAGAATGATGTGGCACCTGGTCTGCTTTCAGACAGATTCAGCCCTGCTCTGCCCTCCAGGGTCACCGTGCTGAGAATCAATGCCCTCAGGAGGTCTCGTTTTCTTTAACCGCGTTGATCACATGATCATGTCCAAGGCATTTTATTTTCTTGGTCTCCGACACCCAGCTTTATATCATTTAAAGACGGGCGATCTGTGATTTTGTGTGTGTCATGTCCATGCTTTCCCTGACGGGACATCAGCTCCAAAATGTCAAAACACCTGAAAATCCTCCTGTGAAAGTGGCCATATATCCAGCGTCCGAGGATTGAGAAAATGTGTACCGACAGAACCTTGTTCTGAATCAGCCACATTTGACTGATTTATTAATGAGGGCAGCATTTGAAATAAAGCCATGGGCACAGCATCTGTGCAGGACATACTGTTTGCTTTTCCGTTTCTGAGCAATACTGAGCTGCGGGCCTCCTGAGATGCCAGGGGCTGCTGGCTGCTCACCCATGCTGGGAACTGAAGGTCTAGAATGGAGACCTACAAACCCGTGCCACGTGGGAGAGGTGACTCCCAAGAGACTGGCTAGGAAGGCATTTTAGAAACACTTTTTGGAAGGTTTATTTCCCTTCAATCCTATCATGGCAGCGGTTGGTTGGGGCGACGAGGGTAAGATGGTGCTTGAGTTGAATGTCCCATTTCAACCACCAAACACACGACTCATCTTATGAACAAAGGGCCCCCCACGAAGGAGACAGATGTGTGATTTGATGTAAGAACTCTCCGTTAGTGGGCATGCAGACTGTCTCCAAAGGGGTTAGTGGGAACATTCTGAAGAAGTCGGAAAAGAGCATGTACTGCCTCACACCTGGGGCCCTTCTCTTTGGCTGCGACATTTGAAAGCCGACTCCATTTCTGGCATCGTACTAACTAAAGCAAGCCTGTAGCACCCTCACCATCGTGGTTGCTCTCATTATTGCTAGTTCGTATATAAGAAAACTGAGGCCTAGAGAAGTTATGCCGAGGATCATCCGGCCAGGAAATGGCATAGCTGGGGTTTGAACTCAGTATGCCCGTGCTAATTTTTCTGGGCTTAGATACAAGCCTAAACTGCATCCCACTTTCACCCTTCTGTCCTCTCTGCCTGCTGCTTCTTTGTTTATTTTTAATATGTCATTACTTCCTAAGGAAGACACTCTCTGGGACTCCTCATGGCCTAGGGCAATACGTGACTCTTGTTTCCCTTGGCTTCAATGGGCCTAATCCAACCTGGGCCATTGCTACTCTCAGTCCTGCCCCACTGGAAGCCTTGTTGCAGTGGGTTCCTAACACAGAAGGCCCTTTTTCTACCTCAGTCACGTGCTCCTGCTGTAAGTCACCCCAGCCTAGAAAGCCCTCCACTGTTACCTCTGTTTGTGTGGTTGTCATCAGTCAGCTCCAACTCGCGGCGACCTTTATGCAGGACTATTGCTTCACTCCATCCATCGCATGGACGGTTTCCCTCCTTCTTGCCAACCCGCCACTTCCCCCAGCCTGGTGCCCCTTTCTAACAATTGGTCTTTCCTGCAAACATAGCCAAAGTAACAGAGACAAAGTTCCTCCATCCCACTCCCCCACCCCTCAATAAATTACATCCAGCATACGCTTCTTGCAGGGCACTGAGTTTGCCACTAGAGACTCAATCTCTTGAGAAAGGTTCAAAGATGAGAAGCCATGGTCCCTGCCCATGAGTGGCTCACACAGTAGTATCACCCATCCACCCAGTCTCAGCTCACACCATCCCTTCTCCACCCAGCCTTCTATGATCACATTAAGACCACCCATCCTTGCCTCTGTGCTGCTCGAGCGCTTAATCACATATGGCCTTGATTTGCTAGTTAACCTTCCGAGTATATTGTCCCATGTAGAATGCCAGCACTCAATAAATAAATAAATGCTGTTGTTTTATTGTCAGTTATACCCCACAAGCAGGATGGGACTGTTTTTATTGAACTACAATGACATCTGTGTTACGTGTTCTAACAACATAAAGAAAAAAAGAGAGAGCGCGAGCATTATTTCTCAGGCCAGGAAGCTCAAGATTGGCTGGACTGTTAATTCGTTTATCTGAATAAAGAGTCTCTGTTTTCTGCAACTATTTTTGCATTCCGTGAGATGGAAAAATACACTGGGTTTCAAGAACCACATCAGCACATGCGGGGAGGAAATGACACCGGCCAGGTACTTTCCATTGAACAAGTCAACCAGTGGAACTAATGCCCTGAGAGAGAAAGGGCTGACCGAAACCCTCACCCTGTTAGTACCCTCACCGGGCACTGAGGCCCCTTCCATCCCAGAAGGGCACGGCTTCCCGAGCAGCTCAGGCAAGCCAGGCTAGTGTTGTCAGGGCTTTTCCATCAGACCCTCAGAGCCACGCTTCAATTCCAAGGACAAACAGGCAAGGCATCAAAGGACAAAGGGGGTTGGCATTCTTTTTCCTCAGTTTTTCCATCTGCAGAATGAACGGTTGGAGTAAATGACTTCAAATTGGCTTTTCTTGCCAATGTGAATGACTGTGATTTTAAAAAACCACGTCTCTGATTCATGCTTTTCCACTGGAAATAGAAAACAAAGGTTGGTTTCCTTTACAGGCACATCTATCCACTTGGTGATCATTTTCCCAGAACTCTCCTCCCTTAGGCCATGCTACAAATGAGCTGTCTTTGCTTCTCTTAGAATCGTTCTCACTTTCTATGACTTTTCAAGCTTGGTACTCCATTGGGAAGGGCCCAATCCCGAACGCTTTCCTTCCCCAAACACCTCCTGTTCCCAGATGAGCCCCTGCAACATCCAGGCTTCTCCCCTCCCCCGGAGCTGCCAGCCCTCACAGCCAGGGGCTGGGCACAAATGGCGGCTGCCATGAGAGCACTTGCTGCATGCTCACTCACTCTGGGTCTTCATGAAGGTCCACCTCAGATCCTTATAATAGCATCGCAAGCATAATTCTCTCCAGTTTTCCCGAGGGGAGGCTAAGAGACTGGCGGTGAGTGAACCAGTTAGGGAACAGCCGAGCTGGCATTGAACTCAGGCTCGGCTGAGCTGAGGAGCAAGGCTGGAGGAAGAGGCCTCTCTGAGCGCATTTGCTACATATAGCACCTTTGTCCAATGGCAGGAGATACTAGCGGAGACCCAGGAGAGCAAGCCATATGGCTTTTGTAACCCAGAGACACCCCTGTTCCATGGACGCGCTTGTCCCTCACACCCATCCCCCGGCTCACATCTCCATAGATTTTAGACCCTGCCACTTTTCACCGGGCCAACTAGGCGACCCACAGTGCACATGTGGACGGAGAAACCCATGGGCGCAGCCGGAGGACAGCCACTGCCCACCCAGCCCCATGGTCTGTCCTGTTACAAAGTGGAACACACTCTTCCCATGTGAATAGACAGAATCTCTCCTTGGTGGTTCTGGGCTTAGGCATTGGGTTGCTAACTGCACTGGCGGGCGGTTCAAACAGAAAGAGGAGGTTGTGTGCTCCTGGAATGAGGTATAGACTTGGAGACTCTCTATAGGGTTGTTAGAAGTTGGAATTGACTTGATGGCAGTGTGTTTTTGTTTCGTGCTGTTTTGTTTTTGGAGGGGGTGTATATGAGCATATCCAGATTAGAAAAAAATTGATCTCTTCTTTGAAATGGGACTCATTTTTATTCTAATTAATCCATGCAAACTCAGGTGAGGCCCAGCTACCGACCTTTACAAGTCTTGTTTTAAATCTCTCTTACTTTCAACCGCCCCTAGGAAGATCCTCCCAGGGCCACTAGCGGCCCGCGGTAGGCACCTGGAAGAGGATGCTGGGGCCAGGTGGGGCGAGCCTGCCCGAGCACGCCTTGTCACAGAGGCTGCAGCTGTGGCTAGTTTGTGAACTGGCCAGCTACTGCAGCTACTGACAGGCTGTGGAAAAACTGTTGATGATCTGCACAGTCCTTCTGGGCAGGGAGGGAGATTTGGGCCCTGCTAAGCTGGACTCTTTAAGCCACGTGGGGAGTCCTTCCTCCCACGCCTGCAGCTCAGCATCTGATTCTCATCCTGAGAGTTCCAACAGAGGAGGAGCTCGGGGCTAGGGATGCTGTTAGGGAATTGCGGGGAAAGGCGGTGAGAAGATGGGGGTGCAGAGTCTCTCAGGGGCTCTGTGAGCGAGGAGAGGGCTCGTCTCCTCTTTGGGCTTGTGGCCCAGCAGGATATGGTCTTAGTGTGTACTCTTCATAACCTGGGGGAAGGATTGACTTTTGCTGGTTGCCCTTCACCCTCTCTGTTTCCCAGGACTGTTTACATGGGGAACGGCTTAGGGGTTGAATATTGCTTCCTCCACGCACTGGTGTGAATGTGGTGCGTCTCTAGGCACATCTAGGCAGCCTCTTGCCCCAAGCTGACCCTACAAAGTCATGGGCCATGCTGTAAGTCCTGGCAACTACAGGAGCACACACGCCCTGAGAGCAGAGGGAGGGCTGGGAGGCAGTGCTGGGACCCCTGCTTGCTGGAATTGTGGCTTGGCTTGGAGAGAATGCGAAGGAGCTTCAAGAGACAGGGCTGTTGGGGTGTTCTGACGCTGCTCTGGTGTCTTCATGTTTCCACCCCCAAGACCCCTATTTCCACTTCATCGCTAATTCCCCAGATTAAGCTGGTGGAGGGTGTTCCTTGCTGCCTGTGATGTGCAGAACGATGGCATTGCCCGTAAGGGTTGGGATGTTGTGCAGGAAAGGACAACAGGCTGG